GAACCAGATCCCTGACCTGGCTTAAGCCCAGCCCAGCCCAGGTCAGGCTTTGCAGCATCCCCTCACTGGTGGCACAAGGAGGCTGGCAGCAGCACAGGGGGGGCAGCACCCCCCACCAGAGCCCACGTGGGGCCAGTGACCACACTCGTGGTCTGTTCTGGGGTTGATGGAGCTGTCAGGAGCCTCCCTGGAGCAGAGCACACCCGGGGCCTGCCCACACCTGCCTGGGCCAGCACCCCTGGCTCAGCTGCTGCCCAGACCCACCACGCCCTCCTGATGGAGGCTGAGTCACCTCCCAGGGGGATGGATTAGGTTTTGGGGTGTGTGGTCTCCTCTCTTTTCTTCTGTCTCACTCCTTTCTCTTCCTTCTCACTCTTTGCAGCTTGTCTGCTCCCTGTCTTGGGCTCTTCCCTAGCCCCTCCTGCCAGCACTCTGCCTGCAGCCTGCCCTGCCTTCCACCCCCTGTCTCCAAGAGCTGGGTGAGGGCAGTGCCACCTCCAGCACCAGCCTGCTGCTGGGGGCTGGATGGAGCCAAAGGATCTCCAGCTTCCCTACCCATCTCTTGGCTAATAGCTTGTTAGTGAGGTCAGAGATGAGTCCTGTTCCCCTTTGGAGGGGAGAGAACAGTGTCTTGCTCTGAGTTGCTGCCTCTGGGTTAGCTGACTGTTGGGTTTTGGGTTGCCTGCTGAAGGAGGAGGGGATGGGGCAGTGGGGAGCTCCTGCTGGCTTGCTCCTCCTCATCTCAGTGCTGAGCTGGTGCACACACTCCAAGCTTTCCCAGGGCACACGAGGCAATGGGTGGCAGGACTGAAACCTGCTGAGACTTCTCCCTGCAGCAGGTTGGCCAGCCCCTCCCAGAGCAGTGGTGGAGGCACCAGAGCTGCTTCCAAGCTTCAGAAAAAAAAGTACATCAGTTCAGGCTGACCAAAAAAATCCTGCAACTGCCCCAGCAAGAAGGGAGTGCTCTTGGGCTGATGCTGAGTGTCCAAATGTTGCTCCTGTGGTTCCCTTCTCCACAAAGGTGATTTGTGTTTGTAGGCTGCTTCATGAGAGCTTGCAAAGTGCCTCCTGCAGATGCTGTTGGCTTAGCTCTGCTGCTTTTCCCTGGAGGTGGCTCTTTGGGTGTCCCAGGTTCCCTCCCCCACCACCCTCCTCAGCTCACTCCAGAGGGAATACAAGACCTGCAAGGGTGCAAGAAGGTGGATGGTGCTAGAAGGCAAAGTGTTGGCCTGTTTCCCTTCACTGAGGATGGACCACTGTCTGCAAAAACTCCACCAGACAAGCACAAGGGGGGAGATTCTCCAAACCCCACCAAAGAGCAGACCTTTACAGTCACCCCATGAATCTATTGACCATTGCAGCCACGTGGAATTAGCAAATATTTAGCACTGCTGCCTGGGCACAGTGGGCAGAGGGGCTGCTGGCACAGCAGAAGAGCAGCACTGCCAAACCCACCCCGTGCCACACAGGAGCCACTCAGGGCTCTGCTCATCCCCCCTCCCTGTGACTGACAGGGCAGGGCCATCTCCCTGCCTGCCCTTGGAGCTCTGGCCATCTTGGCTTCATTAATCAATTACTGCAATCTTTTTTTTTTGACAGATATTTTTTCTTAATAGACTTTGATGTGCTCCAACCCCTCTGAAATAATAAATGAAGACCAAATGTGCAGCGGTCCCGCTGCCAGATACAACATTTCTGAGGTTTATTGCAGATTGGATTTGAATCTGACTATTAATATATGTTACATATGGATCCTTTTAAAAATTAGACAGTTACACAGAATGTAATGAGGGGGGAGAGGTGGATTTCCCCCAGCCCAGGCCTGCACTGAGAATGCCTCACTCTGGGGAGGGCTCGGTGGGGGGAGCAGGAGTGTTTGTGGTGAGGCCTCGAGGGGTGTAGGAACAAAGCTAAGCACGTAAAGGCAGCACAATTCTCCTCCTGCTCTCTTTTTCAATGGCTCCATCTCCCTGTTGTCTTTCTTTATGGCTTTTCTGGTGTCCCAGAGAAGGGGTGAAGGAGGCACCACGTGCACATTGCAGTAGCCGTGCTGTGGTTGCACTGGGGATGTGCCGATTGATTCTCCTCCCCCCCAAAACTGACCATGCCTTGAATTCAGGCTGGCTGCTCGGGAGGTGTGCCAGGAGCTCTGCTAAGCCCTGTGCTGTTGCAGATGTCCTCTGACCTGGGTGATGCTGGGGGGGGATGGTCAGCACCCAAGAGCACAGACCCTCGCAGCGGAGATCCCGCTCGTGGCTGGAGTCCCCCGTGGAGTGGTGCCAGATGACCCAGGGCTGGCCTTTGCTGGGCTTGTTCAGCAAAAGCCCTTCTCAGATTCTGAGGAAAAACTTGTTGTCAAGTAAGAGCTTGGCTCAAAATGTGCAGCCTTTAGGTGCACTTCCTCGCATCTGGAAAAAGAGTGATCTGGTTTGAAACGCAGGGGGGGAAAAAAAGTTCTGCTGGAATTCTGCCCCTGAATCACAAAAATCAGTTTGGGGTTGTCCTTGAGAAGGGTTTTGAGAGCTTTACCCCAGGTGGCCTTTGCAGTAATGTGGAGCACATGTCTTTGCTTCCTCCAGGTTTTCCACTATCAGCCTTTCCATCAGAGTGGGCAAAGGTGTCTTGAAAGTCTTTTGACTTATGACTCCCAACTTATGACTCCAGTAATTCTTGCTAGAGGCCCCAGAGCACAGGAGCATCAGCAGAATGTTGAATCTCTGCAGTTTCTAGGAAAACATGTGCCCTACAGGGAGATTTCAGTTTCTTTTGGTGCAGTCTTTGTCTTGAAGGCAGCGAGGCTTGCAGTTATCTTTGAGCAAGAGAACTTGGAAGGTATGGGCCAGATGATGAGTCCTGTTCCCCCTCCCCTCTACAGTCTGTTCTGGTTTGCCAGTGGAAAACCCCTGCTCAGTGGCCAAGAACATAATCAGTCCTCCTCATTAAAACTTTGATTAATGCCACGGCCGTGGGGAGTAACTGCCCCCACCAGAAATGGAAGGAGAAGAAGAGGAAGGAGCCTCTCACTGAAGAAGCTGGACGTGGAGAGAGCTGCTTGTTTGGAATGAGCAGAAATGACCCTGGGCAGGGTGCTGTGAGTCACCCTCATGACTTTCCTGCCTTGCCCAGGGTCACCATCCCTGGCAGGTGGGGTGAGCAGCAGCCCTGGTCTGGCCCTTTCTGGAGGTCCCCCTGTCTGCAGCTTCTCTTGCTGGCCCAAACACTGCCCTGTGGTGCCAGGAAAGGGAGAGGATGTTTGTTGTCTTGATTGTTCCCATGCTGCCAGAATTGGCAGGTTCCCAGGAGATCAAGTGGCTGGAGGAGGGGGGAGAATAATTCCAGCAGAAATGAAATGGGCAGCGTGGAGCCAGAGCTGGAGAAGGATGTGAGTCCTTTGGGCTGGGAGGCTGGGCTTCCTCCAGCCCTCTGGAGAGGGAGAGGCACTTCCCTGAGGTGCCAGTGCCACCCAGCTGGCATTCTCAGGGAAGGGGTGGGCACAGTGGGTCAGTGCCTTGGCCCCCCTCATGCTGTGCCCCATGAGCAGCAGTTTCCAAGCCTGATGGAGGGGGGAGCTGGGAGCACTGGAGGAGAACTGCTCTTCCCACACAGAAAGGGGTGGGAAAGCTGCTTCTGCTCATCACTAAAGGGTTTTTTTTCTGCACGGTGTGATTTTGTGCTTAACACCAAATTCCCAGTCACAGGATGGGTTGGGTTGGAAGAGACCTTAAAGATCATCTCATTCCATGGGCAGGGACACCTCCCACCAGAGCAGGTTGCTCCAAGCCCCATCCAACCTGGTCTTGAACACTTTCAGGGATGGAGCATCCACAGCTTCTCTGGGCAACCTGGGCCAGTGTCCCACCAGCCTCATGGTAAAGGATTTATTCTTAATATTAATTCTAAATCTACCCTCTTTCAGCTTAAAACCATTATCCCTTGTGCTGTCCCTACACTCCTTCATAAAGGGTCCTTCCCCATCATTCCCATGAGGTTTCCATACCTGCCTTGACCTCAGAAAGAGCCACCTAGAAACAGTATCAGTCTGCTGTACTGATCATACCTGCTCCTAACTAAAAAAAGTATGGGAAGAAAATCTTATGTGGGCTTTGGGTGTGAGTCTGAGCCTCTGGTGTCCCAGCTCTGGGCCCCTGGGGACAGCAGTGGTGTCCTGCAGGGACAGGGCTCTGGTACTAACTTGTCCCCTAGCACTGATTTTAAAAGCTTAAAAAAAAAGTCTTCAATATTCTCATATTAATTTTTCTTGGTCTCAGTAGATTATTGTCAGTTTTTTAAATTAAGGATCAATGGCTGCTGGTTTGATTAAATGGCTCCAAGTGTGAAGTTCTCAGTGGGTTGGTGGTGTGGAGAAATATCCATACAGCTCTTTGCAAAAGCCTGACATGGGCCAGCCTTGTTTCTGTCAACTGAGGGTTAAAACCTCTTTGCAGAGGTGGAATTTCCTTTCCCAAGGTGACCGACCTTCCTTCCTCTGTCCC